CCGATCTGGCTAATCTACATGCCTCCGTCGACGGAGGCATGGAGTCTGGACACACCCTAAATGGCCCCTTGAGGCCCCTTCTAGTCCTACAATGCAGTGAATCCCCATGATGCAGCAGATACATTGAGGTGGCACCAGATCCCATTTGCTTCACCTTCCACCTAGCAGCCGGGCTCATCAGCCAGGGGGACTCAGGCAGCCAGACTGGTACCTCGCCCAACATCACAACCCCTCGCGTGAGCTGGCAGGGTCTGGCCTCACGGGGACGAGCCAGGGGCCTGGGAACCTGCCTCAGGGCTTGTGAACTGAGGCATTTGCTGTTGGCTTCTAGGCAGTGGCCAGGCCATCTGCTGAACACAACTGCCTGCAGCTGGGTTGCGGTGAGCTACAGATCCTGGCCCAGGACAGCTCCTGCCAGGATCCAGCTGGAGCTCCTACCGACTAAAAGCTGTTGCCAGCTGATGGCCGTTCTGTGGCCTGCGTGACATGTTTGGTGGCCTCAGGCCAGTGCCCATGGGCAGGGCCCACCTCACCAGAGCCTCCGTTGCAGGGGTTGCCAATCCCCTGTTAAGACTGAACTAGCTGAGGGGCTCTGCAGCCGGCTCCCCGGGAGCAGGGCCGGCAGTCCCTGTTGGCCCCACTCCTGGGGAGCCAAGCCCACCATGGATAGAGGCTTCTCTGGCCAGCCAGCTGGAGCAGTCCCAGCCTGCAGTGGGCCCCGTGGGGCTGAAGCAGCCCCCTGCCTGGGGTGGGAGAGTGTTACGTTCTGGGCTCCCGCTGGGCCTGCAACTGAGTCTCACCACAGCTCTATCTTCGCAGCTGAAGTTCAAGTCACTGAAGCTCACGACGAACGCAGCCCTGCAGCGGCGCTTTCGCAGCCCCTTCATCTTCCGGGAGGAGGACCCCAGCCGCCAGGTGAGGGCCGGTCGCTCTTGGCTGTGTTCCCCAATGAGGGGAGCAGCTGTTTGCGTTAGAACGGGCGCGATGACCAAGGCCCAAAGGGGAGCTGGCCTGCCCAAGGCTGCTGCGCAGGAGAAATCAGAGCACATCCAGCATTGGCGGTCAGCGCAGGTAGGGCTGGGGGAGTCAAGCCCTCAGCCCCACCTCCAGCCCCGCCCCTTTTACTATGACCCCGCCCTCATGGGAGCCAAGATACCTCCTTGCCCCCCAACCACAGGGAGGGGAGGGGAGCGGGAGGGCGTTCGTGCATCCCACGCTCCCCGGCCCAGGAGGACTAGGATGGCAGGCAACACGCTGCCCCAAAACCCGTATAGTAGGTGTTGTGGGGGCGGAGTGTGGCCAGTGCCTTCCCGCCCCCAGCACACCCACCGGCCATGGACAAGTGGGCAGGCCAGCCAGAGAGAGCTGGTGGTTCAGATGAAGGCAGATTCAGGTGCCGTTCTTCCCTACCCCTCGACCTGCACAATACCGGCTTGGAAACCGAGAATGGCCACTGATGCCCCAGTGCCCAAGACTGACTGCCCAGCTTTCCCTCCCTGCAGATGCTGGGGGAGGGGAGAGTCACACACACTCCCATGCACCCCCCCCCCCCCCCCCCTCCCGCCACTTCCGACACTGGCGAGGACTAAGGTCTGGGATGCTCAGATCCCACAGTGAGGAGCTGGGTCCAAACCAGAGACGTACCGACCTTTGCAGCCTGAGCCGAGCGCTGTGTAACTGCCTGGGTGTATTGAACCTGCGAGCACAGGGGGCGTTTTCAGCATTTTCCTGGCTCCGGTGATTTACGCTCCCGCTGACATTTTTCAGCTGGCTTCATGAAGGGCTTTCGGGAGCAACGCTCACCCGCTCTGTGCTCCGGGTGGGGGCCGGCAGGGCGGGGGGAGCAGACCTCACGTTATTTCGCCCTCACCGTTGGCTTCTCTGAGTTCTTTGGGCCGCCCCACGTTCCCCTAGGACCCAAAGAGACAGGGGTATCTCCCGCACACAGAGCGGCTCTTGGCCCCGAGCGACAGCGCCGAGGCACAAAGCATGTTTAGAAACAGAGACCAGCTAGATCAAGGGCCCCACCCCAGAAGACCCAGGGGTCTGGCAGCGGGGAAATGAGCTGCCCGGGCCCAGCAGTGATCAGTTCACGCAGGACAGTGTCTGGCGCCATCTACGCTGCAGTTAGCAAGTCGGCCGTCCTGGCACTCGCTGGCATGGCTAAAAAGAGCAGGAAGGCTCATCGGCATCTCCACGGGCAGCACAAGGCCGCCTGGGTGCCGGGGGACACCCTTGCCTGGCTGCCGTGTGCTTGCTGCAGGTTGTAAATTAGATTGAGGGTGTGCTGACCACAGCCGCAATCCCCCGGCAGAGTAAACGTAGCCCAGAGCCGGGGCAGGACTCCACATCGTCCAGAGGAGGCCAGCAGACACTGCGGGGATGTGTGGTGTGACCTTAAAGCAATTCAGCCAGGAGTTCACTGGGTCTCTTCCAGCAGGGAGCGCCGCACACACGCACCCTAGGCCCCACCTGGGACAGACAGGCAGGGCCGAGGGCCCAGAGCGATGGGTGGGGGAAGCCAGACAAGGAAGTGAACTCCAGAGAGATTGCTCTGTTCCAACGGGGGCGGTTGGTTCATGCTGTCCGGGCTGCGTCTCAGGGGCTGACTGGCCGGGGAGGGCGGGAATTCCCTGATGACTGGCCACAGGGCCCATCCAGTGCCATCAGTGAGAGCTGGCTCAGCCCCACGGGTCCAGCAGCAGCCGCTGGGCTGCGGAAGGTCTGCCTGGAGCAGGAACGTTGTTGTGCAAGCCGTGTGTGGCCCTGCTCCCGCCAGGCCCAGAGCCAGGGCAGGGCTGGTGGGGAGGCTCCATTGGATTTCACTGGGACTCTCCCAGGATTGGGGGGTTTTCTTAAACCTTCAGCTGCTGGACTCCTGAGAACCTCGGAGACTCTGCACCATGGGCAGCCGGTCGAGTAGGCACAGCCTTCCCGAAAGTGTCCACGTGCCCGGCTGCCGGGGACCAATGGGGCACTGGCCTGACAGCCCTACTTCCTGGCCACTGCGGAGAGCTGTCCTGGACCGCAGAATGGCAACCCCAGCCCACCAAGTGGCCAGGAAGGATCGGGTTGGGGGTGGGTGGGGCTTGGCTCCAGGGGCGGGGCCTCAGCCAGAAGGGGCGGAGCTGGGGTTTGCCTTCCCCAGCTGGACCTTCACCCACCGCCTATGCTCTCCACCTCCAAGGCGGTTTCACGCCCTCGTGGTCGCCAAGGAACGCTGGACAACGTGGCCTGGACAGGTCCCGAAAGGGACGTGGGACTCCGGCCTTTTCAGACCAGACGTGTGTGAAATTCCCAGCCTGCCGGCCCCTGCTCCCGCCAGGCCCCTGCGGTCCCTGCTGGGCTCGGAGAATGGAGCGCTGCTGCCCTCTGCAGGCTGCAGCCCCCATCTTCCAGCCAGCAGCCCTGGGCTGCTACCCGCCCTGCCCACTCGCCCAGGGAGCCCGCAGGTGTCTGTCCATGGCAGGGGAGCCAGCGGTTCGCTGCGCCTCACTGCCAGAGACACCCCCGTGCTAGTCCCAGCCGCCACGTGCCCGCCGGCAAGGCTAGCCCCCTAAGGCAGGTGAAAGAACCGGTTCTATTGCATTGAGCTGCATGTTGTTACCTTCGTCCCCTCCAGCAGGGCCCTGGGGAGACCAGGGACAAGCAGACTCTGCCGGGGGCCAGACCTGGGCGACCCGGCTACTTCCCCACAGCCGCCTTGAGAGCGGTGGATTCACATGCCAGGGAGGGTGAATTTGAGAGGGAGCCTCGTGCGCCCTGGGGCATTCCAGCCGGCTGCACCGGTGCAGCCCATGGCATCCGCAGGCAACGCTGCAGTGAGGGGCCCGGGGCACGTTCCGGCGCGTCAGAGCCCCGGGCTGGGGGCTGGCAGTAATGCAGCTGCTCCGCCCCGATCGCAGCCGGCAGGTGCTGGAGCAGAGAAAGCGGAGAGTGGCTTGCAGGAGGGCAGAACCGGCGGGGGGCTGGGCACGCTGCAACCCAAGCCCGTTCGCCTTGCACAGCTCTCCGCCCCCAGGCCATGGCTGGCTCAGCGCTGGAGGGATTCTCACCCTCTTCCCATTGCAGGTAACGTTTGAAATCTCCAAACCAGAGGAGTCCCAGATCCCCATCTGGATCATCCTGGGCAGCACACTGGGCGGGCTCCTGCTTCTCGCACTCCTTGTCCTGGCCCTATGGAAGGTAAGGCCGGTCCCCCGGCAGAGCACACCCCTTGCGGTCGAGGGGAGCTCACACCGTGCCCCTGCACAGGAATCACTGACCCAGAGACGTGCAGGCCAGAGGGGACCCTTGTGACCTCTGGCTTGAAGGGCCATAGATCCGCACCCAACGACTCCCGCTGCCGCCTTCTGCCTCCATTCCGTGTCCTTGCGGGAAGCCGCTGTGGCCAGAGCCCTGTGGGGATACGCAACTGGTACCCGCGGTGAAAACACTGGGCCGTGGAGCGCGTGTCGGCGCCGCGGCGATAGAGCGGAAAGCCGCGGGTTTGCAGGGCCCTGGCGGCAGCCCCTGCCGTCTCCCCAGGGTTCACAGGCTCTGTGCAGCTGCCCGCCCAGCAGGCCTGGGTGTGACAGCTCAGCAAAGCGCCGCCCGCGGGCAGCCGAGGGACGCCTCCAGGAGGGACACGCCTCAGATGCGACTGGAGTGGCCAGTCTGAGCCCAAGCTGGCTGCCAGCCTGGCACCCGCACTGCTCTGGTGGCTTGGAAGTGGGCCGGCCAGTCTTGCTGCCTCACATGGGCGGCCGGTGATGCAGGCAAGGGGAGGCACAGCCTTCCCGAAACTGCCTACATGCCCAACCGCCAAAGGCTGGGCTGGGGCGCAGCAGCCTGGCTTCCCCCAGCCGTCAGGGAGGGACGGGACGGGCTGCAGCACGGCAGGCCTGGCCCTCCATGTGCGCAGGAAGGATCAGGTTGGGTGGGCGGGGCTTGGCTCCAGGGGCGGGGCCTCGGGTGAAGGGGTGGGGCAGCGCCTTCCCCCAGCTGGGCATTCATCCGCCGCTCCCTGATGCCCCCTAGGGAGAAGGAGAAGCCGCGCTCCCCCATCACTGTCCTTGTCCTTCCGTCCGGGTTACGGCTGCAGGGGAGAGCGTACGACAGCTGCTCCCATCCCAGCGGGAGTCTCACCTCCCGGCACAGACGGGGCTCCTCTCCCCAGCGCGGGTTCGGAGCAGGGCAAGGAAAGCCGGAGCAGCGCGGCTGGTCCCAGAGGGGTCTGGCTGGCAGGGATCGGGTGGCCAAATTCCCAACAATGCACAGGCCATTGGCATGGAGTTAGACCGAACCCCCCCGGGAGTCAGGATCCCCTTCCAAGGGTCAAGGCCCGCTTTGCCCACAGCTGGGCAGAGCCTTCAGGACCCCCGTCCTAGCGAACAGCACAGAGACTCCCTGGCCGCTGGCCGTGGGGGAGAGGCGGCCCCCTCGCCGGGCACACACAGGAAACAGGCCACCTGGGAGACTCCAGGGAAAGGCGCCACAGACCCCAGGTAGCAGGGGCTGTGCCCTAGAAAGGAAGCCCCCTCCTGAGCCCGGGTGTAGCGACGGGGTTCCCCTTCTCCCAGGTCGCAGGGCAGCTTGCAGCTGCTTTTACCTGCAAAGCTGTGATAAACCCACACCGAGTTTTGTCCACAGCTAGGGCATGACTGACTAGATTGCACTTCCCAAGAGGGCCCCTTCTCAGGCAGGTAAGATTGCTGGTGACACAGACGGGGCGGGGGCAGGCAGATGGGGCGGCTCTTTGACGGGGTTCCCCTTCTCCCAGGTCGCAGGGCAGCTTGCAGCTGCTTTTACCTGCAAAGCTGTGATAAACCCACACCGAGTTTTGTCCACAGCTAGGGCATGACTGACTAGATTGCACTTCCCAAGAGGGCCCCTTCTCAGGCAGGTAAGATTGCTGGTGACACAGACGGGGCGGGGGCAGGCAGATGGGGCGGCTCTTTGACAAGCTGGATTGGGAGGTGGGGGCAGGCAGAAATATATCCAGCCAGGGCGCCTGCTCCGGTTCAAGTCAATACGGCAGCTGTTCCTGGCCATGGGAGCAGAATGTGCCCAGTTTGGACAGGCCGGCCGCCAGCGGGGGACAGGGAGCAGCAGCCGGAGCCCTGGGCCTTTAAATCACCGCTGGAGTGCCACACGGCATGCTCCAGGCAGCACTGAGGGCTGGCTGCCTCTAGCCCCGCCCCTTCCTCCCAAAGCCCCACCCCTTCCAGGAGCACATGGTGAAAGCACCTTGTCCAGCGGCCCAACAGGGTGGTGGGCCCCCTGCATATGGAACAGGGGCCCTGGCATTTACAGTTTGCATGTGAACATGTTGAAAGAGCAGATATTTTGCTTTGTGGATTGACGAATATAAGGTATCTGCACCCTGCACCAAACCCCGGGAGCTCTTGCCCTTCAGACACCCACCGAGGGCGTGACTGCTTTGTCTGAAAACCTTTGAGCACGTGCGGTGCTTTGTTTCCACCCCAGTTACAACCCACGGGGTGACAGCTGCCGTGACGGAAGGGAGAGTCTTTCTAGTTGCAAGCTTCCGAGAACTCCTCCCAGAAAGCCTCACGCTCAAGCAGCAGGACTCAGAGGGTGTGTCTAGACTACAGGGTTTTGTCGACAAAACTATACCTGCGTCTACACTACCACCGAGTTCTGTCGACATAACCTCGACAGAACTCATCAGTTTTGCCGACGGCGGTAAACCTCGTTCTACGAGGAATAACACGTCTTGTCAACAGAGTTCTGTCGACAGAAGATGTTATTGCATCTCCACTGTCCGTTGCGTCTACACTCTCATGTCGACAAAGCGGCTTTCAAGGAGTTTTACAGGATCTGTCGAAACAGGCCTTCTTTCTTGACAGATCCCCTCTAGACCTCCGCTTTTTGCCAACAAAGTGCCGAGTCAGCAAAACGTGGTGGCCATTTTTATGCAAATTAGGCACGGGATACTTAAATCCCTGCCTCATTTGCAATGTCGACCTGCCTAATCGGCATCCTTCTGCCAACAGAGGGATGCAGTCTAGACATACCCAGACTGAGACCGGGGAGCTGCAAACTGCTCTGCTATGTTTCCTGCGGCTCTTTGCTGCGTGTGATATTAAACAGCTGGGGTGGCATTGTTAGCCAATCAGAAGGCGGTTAGTAGGTTATTAACCAAGCGTGAAATACTTGGCCAGTCATTTTGCTGCACGAATCCTCTAGCTTTGATAAATGAAAGAATGTGGCTCTGTGGAGTAATGCCAGTGGCTGCTTTGGCTCCTGACCCACTGAGGTCTGAGCATCACTACAGGAACCAGAACAGTCAGGTTCAACCTCACACTTTATAACAGGCCCAGTTACTGAGCTACTAGCACAGTGTTTCTCAACCTTTTTTTTTTATATACAGTACCCCCTTTTCCAAAAAAATTATAGAACCCCCTTTTCAAAAAAAAATTCTAAGTACCCCCAGTACCTACAGTTTTCAGACACACACAAAATGTACCTACCATTGCAACACATTTGTTTAAACAACATATTTGTAACCAGGCGGGCAGTGAAATTTTTGGGTGTAAAAAAATACAAAAATATAAAGCGCTGTGACACTTAAAACACAAATTCAGTTGTCTCCAAATTTCAGTTGTGTTGCCGGACCCCTAGACTTCTCTCGAGTACCCCTAAGGGGACGCTTGCCACTGGTTGAGAAACACTGTCCTAGCCCGTTCCAACGATGAAACATTTCTCTGCCGTGAGAGAAGGCGGTGGGACCGACAGACTTGCTGGGCCCCCAGGCAAGGCAGGGAGGAGCCAGTTCTGTGCCCCCAAAAAGGGTGGGGCCTCAAGCAGAGGGGGCGGGGCTGGAGCTCGCTTCTCCCAAGCAGCCTCAGCGCCACCTGACAACCTTCAGCGCTGCCCGGTGTGCGTCACGCAGGGCTCCAACGGCAATTTAAAGGGCCCACGGCCCCATTGGCATGCCAGAGAGCAGGAGACTAGATGACCTCTTGAGAGCCCTTCTCTTCACCATTGATACTTCTGGCGTTCCCATCGCCGTGGGCAGATGCGTCCGCGTCACGTCCTGTTTTTAAACACCAGCGGGCTTGCATTGAAATGCCAGCCATTTGAAAGGCTTGTCTCTGGATTGTCCTTTAATGTCTAATGCACACGTTTGCCCACCTCAAATTATCCAGACCCTTTTTCTTATCAAACAAATGAAATGCCAATGAATGCAAGGCCTCCCTTGCCTGACCTCCCCTCCCCTTTAAAAGAAACGCATGTCAACCTCAGCAGCTGTAAGTAACAGTGGGTTTTTTGTTTTTTTGGTTTTTTTGTCTTGTCTTTAAATTCCTGCAGCTTGGATTTTTTAAAAGTGCCAATCGCAAGAGAGATACAGCGCCGGAGCACCAGGCGAAAGTGTTAGAATGAGGCTCCCGCAGCTAGGGTCTGCGAATCTCATCTCCCTATCGCCATGTTCATATCCGTGTGCGGCCGGCAGAGGAGATGTTGGTCTTGCTGCCAAAGGAAGTGGGTGTAGGACTCCATTTGCCTCGAGAGGAGAATACACCCCTTTGTGTGAAATTAGCTAAAGAGAACCTATTCCGTGGCCAGCTGCCACCGGAGCACAACCATCAAAAGGTACTTCAAACTGGTTTTAAATAGTTCTGTTCTGCCTCACTCCGGGCAGTTAGTTGTGCATAAGGACAGTAACAAAGCTGGGGTAGTCTTTGTGATGATTGGGTGTTTTTATATCCTGGGGGTTGCAAGTTTAATGCCATGCGCCAAATCGAAGCCACGAGCAAGTCAGATTAAACGCAACTACGACACAGTATTTTTGAGAGACCTCACTTTTAAGGCTAGCAGCTGGGTTATTCAGACTAAGTGGACTTGTCAATAAAATGCCACAAGTGAATTCTCCAGGTGCACAATTTGCCTGCGAAAATAAGATGAGGAAGGAAGAGACTAAACACCCTGTCCAAAACATGTAAACAGACCGAAGGATCAGTTTACACGTCTATTAAATTCCAGTGGTGCACCTAAATGTAAAAATGCAGGCTTAAATGGAGCTCCCCTGGAAGCAAAGTGGAACTGGCCAATATAAAACTTCGGATCCCCACACGTTTTACATTTTCTGAGTGGAGAAGTTTAATAGAGAGTTTTTAATTTGCTTTCTTTTTAATGCACTGAATACAATTAATAGCAAATTAAAGCACCTTAATACAGAACTTCAGTGTCCAGCTGTATATACTTATTCTGAAAAGATTTACCTGTTTGAACGCCAAAAAAAAAAAATTTAAAAACCAGTTTGAAGTGTTTTCTACAAACTGTGCAATTTCCAAGAGTCGACAGGCAACAGGAATCGGAAACTGTATTATAATTGTACATACTTTGTGTCATGCAGAAATGATCACTGCTGTTCGACAAAAATCTTTTCTTTTGCATAATAGAATTATTTATGCTAATATTAACTTTATGATTGAAAGGAAAGAAAGCAGCTGTCCACCCAATGTGTAACAGTCTGTTCAGTACTGTTTTAGTATTTTTTAAGGATTAACTATACAGTATTTTTAAATATTCATCATTTCAACGACCATTCTGTACTAAACCAGTTTCCCCAATGATCTATAATTGGATTGAATTGTTCACAGCCCTTTTAGAAGAGAGTGAAAGAGGGACTGTAATATTTCTGCCTTTATTTATTGTGACAATAAATGTATTTTCCAGAATGACTTCTTTTAAAGGGACCTTGTCAGGTTTAAAAAATTAAATACTTACACTTGCAACATGAGGATCTTGTTGTGAGCCCATACACATGTTGCAGGGTCAGATCCTTTGGGCCTTGTCTTTGTGGTATGACGTTAGATTTATTTAAACTGAAACACACATCTAATTGATTTTTTTATCTGTTTCTGCTTTTGTTGCATTTCTCATCTTGAGCAAAAAGGAAGTCTAGTCAGTTTCATTGAAGCTAGTCCCAGTTTACTTTCATGTTCTCCTGCAGTAGGTGATGCAACTGCTTCCGGGAGTTGTTTATATGTGTTTGTTTCCGTTTAAATAAAGAATGGGACTAGCTGGGTTAGTTTCAGGCTTGATGGATGATTAGCACGGGGGTGCCTGTTTTGTTGAATGGAGATTTTTGATCTGACATTGACCCTTTGTATTGTATTGGGAGTGGCAAAGCGTTCCCACCACACGGAGGCATGTTCTTATTGAACTTGCTTCATGAAAATATTGGCGAGTGTCCACGGTTTCTTCTTTCCCCTTTAATGAGTGATCAGTTTTCCCAAATGTTGCCAAATAATCTTGTTGAAAGTATTGAAATGGAAGGATTATAAAGAACACTGAATGCATCCTCACAAAACCCTTCTCTTCCTCCAATATCAAACACAACCCCCCAAAAGCCCCAAACCCAACAACAACAAAGAAAGAAACAAAACACCACGCGCTGTTTAATAACTTGTTCCTTTCCGACGTTGGCGAGGAGAAAATTCACTTTCTTTTTCAAATCCAAACCTTTAGCTTAGCTTTAGCATTCACCCCCTTTTAAATAACTGCCATATAGACAGACTAGAAAATACCTCACCGTCAAAAATCACCGGGGCCTGATTTTGCAGTGAAATCAACTGCAAATCAACTGATGCTTTGCCACTTCCTTTGGTGGGCACAGACTAAGCCCAATAGGGGATTAGCAGCCGTGTAAACAGAATACCCAGTTTTGCTGTACATTAGGGGCATGTCTAGACTACATGGCTGTGTCTAGACTGGCAAGCTTTTCCGCAAAATCAGATGATTTTGCGGAAAAACTTGCCAGTTGTCTACACTGGCCGCTTGAATTTCCGCAAGAACACTCTCTCATGTAAGATCGTCAGTGTTCTTGCGGAAATACTATGCTGCTCCCGTTCGGGCAAAAGTCCTTTTTTCAAAAGACTTTTGCACAAAAGGGCCAGTGTAGACAGCTCAGATTTGTTTTCCGCAAAAAAGCCCCGATCGCCATTTTCGCGATCGGGGCTTTTTTGCGGAAAACAAATCTGAGCTGTCTACACTGGCCCTTTTGTGCAAAAGTCTTTTGAAAAAAGGACTTTTGCCCGAACGGGAGCAGCATAGTATTTCCGCAAGAACACTGACGATCTTACATGAGAGAGTGTTCTTGCGGAAATTCAAGCGGCCAGTGTAGACAACTGGCAAGTTTTTCCGCAAAATCATCTGATTTTGCGGAAAAGCGTGGCCACCACACTGTGCTGATCAGCTGTTTGGCGGCACAGCGGGGCAGTCTGGACGCTCCGCGGTCGACAAGGAAAGCTTTTGGCGACGGTTCCTCATTTCACGAGGCATAACGGAGCGGTGACAAAGGCTTCCCTTGTCGACTGCAGCGCGTCCAGACTGCCCCGCTGTGCTGCCTAACAGCTGATCGGCACATTGTGATGTAAATGAAGTGGGGATTATTTAAATCGCTGCTTCATTTTCCTACGTCTAGTAAACTCCTCTCCATGGCTCCGTCGATGGAGCCATGTAGTCTAGACACACCCTAGATGTCTTTCCATGGGCAACCAAAGGAAGGAAATGAAGCAACTTTGTGTTACTTCTGATCTTCCAGGGACTTCTTGCTTATACTATAGCGATAATGGACAAACAAAAGTTTACACCACGTATTCCACCTGTCTCAATGCGAACAAAGACAGCGCTACCCTCTCCAGTTGGACGTATGTGCTTTGCCAAAACTTGCTGCCTGCGTGTAATAAGCAACCAATGTGCTGGTACGCGGGGTATGTAAATAGGTGGTGAAATGTGCCGCTCTGCGCTGTAATGCTGAACGGCAGGGAAATACAATGTGACGATTTGGGTACGTGGTCTTGCCTGTTTACCTCGGAGTTATTTATTTTTTTTAACCGATTCTTGCGCGATGAGGCCGAAATCAAGTCAGTAGATACTTGGTTGACCCTGCAAGCGTCACAGAGAGAATGTGGTTCCTCACCACCCCTTTCATTCTCCAGGGGTCTCAGAATCACATGGAACAAACCTGTTAGTTTTCATGGGATGGAGACAAACAGAGGCCGTGACAAATGCAGCCACAAATCCTAACCGTTGCATGCCAAAGCCCCAGCTCTCTGCTGTCTTTGAGCGGGAACACAGGGAGTCTAAAGGGTGTGCTTGGTTTTTGCATTGTCCTCGGGATCCGTTACAGCAGCCTTGATGCTGCTCTAACCTGTGCTGGACACAGCGGCCCTCAGAGGGGATGTTGCATTAGCTCAGAGTCTCTAGCGCACAATGCGGTTCCCGCAATGCCCCGTGGCCAAGCAAGCCCCTCGCTAACAGAGAGATCTGCTACTTTTATGGCCTCCTGAAGCTATTGGCGCAGCATAAACCGGGTGCAGGGCAAGAACCTCGGTCTGTCGATTTATTTAACGGCGGGTTAGGAAGGTTGGCCAAGACTTGAGGGGCCTGAGCCCAAAATGGTCCAGGGTGGGTTGTTGCTTGAGGGTTTGCAACTTTCTGTTTGCAGAAACCGAACAGCCTTGCCTGCCCCCCTCCCCTGAGACCCCCCCGCCCCAACCTCCCTCCATCCCCCTCCTGTCACTTGCTCCCCTTCCCCCTCCCTCTCTCTCTTTTTCATTGGGCTGGGGCCAGGGCCGGGCCTGGGATGTGAGAGGAGGGGGGAGGGATCACAGTCAAATATTCTGGTTAATTAAGAGTTTGGAATGTGGGAGGGGGCTTCGGCAGGGGAATGAGGTGTGGGCTGGGGGTGCAGTCTTTGGAGTGGGACCAGGGATGAGGAGTGCAGGAGGGAGCTCCAAGCAGGAGCTGGGGGGTTTGGAGCATAGACTGGAACACCTATGGAAAAAAGAAAAAAAAAACAAAACAGCAAAACAGTGGGTGCTTAGCACACACCAGTAGCCAGCTCCCCCACCCACTCCAGTGCTTTCTGTACACCAGAGGCCCTGACAATCAATTCTTTCCTCTTCCTCCCAGTGCCTGCTGCCTGCCCCAATCAGCGATTATGCAGTGTGCAGGAAGCTCTTGGAGGAAGGGGAGGAGTGGGGACTGGGCACACTGGGGGAGGGAGTGGGAAGAGGTGGGGTAGGGGTGAAGCCTGGGACAGAGCAGGGGGCTGAGCACCCCACAGAAAGCTGGCACTTATGGTTCCGAGTGTGGAAGGGGATGCAGAGTTTGGATGCAGGAGGGGGGTTGGAGTAGGAGGTTGTGGCATGAGAGGGGTTTTGGAGTGATAAATCAGGCAGCTCCTCCATAAGGGCAACATGTCCCTGCTGCTCCTAGAAAAAGGTGTGGCTAGGCAGCTTTGTGCACTGAGACTCCTGGCTAATGGAAGGTGCAGAGCCATCCATCTGGGCAGGGGCAGCACACAGAGCCCCTGTGGCCACCCCTATCCCTAGGAGCCAGAGGGCCACGCGGGCAGCTTCCCAGGAGCCACAAGGAGCGGGGCAGGTAGGGGTCTGTCTTAGCCCCACTGCGCCACTAACTGGGCTTTCAACAGCCCGGTCAGTGAGCTGCCCTGGTCCTTGTTGGACTGGGTCTTCCAGCGGAAAGCATCTGGTCACCCCACTGCTTTTGCCCAATGGGCTGAGTGGCCCTGTACCCTGTCTTCTGACAGTGTTCAATGCCCCAGCGGGGATGCAAACAGAGGATGCTCAGAGCAGGGGGTTGTGTCCCTGCCCATCCTGGCTCAAAGCCATTCACGGGCCCATCCTCCATGAATTTATCTAGCTCTTTTTTGAACTCTGTTACAGTCTTGGCCTTCACGCCATCCTTTGGCAAGGAGTTCCACAGGTTGACTGCATGTTGTGTGAAGGAGGACTTCCTTTGGGCTGTTTTAAACCTGCTGCCTATTAATTCCATTGGGTGATCCCTGGTGCCTGGGTCATGTGAAGGGGTAGATAACACGTCCCTGTTTACTTTCTCCACACCAGCTGGGTCTCTAAAGGCGCCGCACACGAAGCTCACTGTTAGCTTGCAATGCCAAGCCAGCAGATGGAACGACTCTATCCCCGTCCAAGCCCCAACCACGTGGTGCACCCAAGGGGCAGTGAGCTTCAGCCCCTGGAAGAGGTGATGTCAGGATTTCCAAGACCCGCCGATAACACGTCCCTGTTTACTTTCTCCACACCAGCTGGGTCTCTAAAGGCGCCGCACACGAAGCTCACTGTTAGCTTGCAATGCCAAGCCAGCAGATGGAACGACTCTATCCCCGTCCAAGCCCCAACCACGTGGTGCACCCAAGGGGCAGTGAGCTTCAGCCCCTGGAAGAGGTGATGTCAGGATTTCCAAGACCCGCCGACCGCCCTGGCTACTGTCCCCACTTTGGACCTGAGGCTCCC